AGGGAAGGGTGGTGGGGGTGAAGGGCGCACAGGTAATGGGGAAAAAATAAGAACCAAGATACATCATGTTCAGGTACAAACACCCAATGATAAATGGAAATGTATTTGTATACCTAAAATGTACCAATTAATATATAAATAAATTTTAAAAAACAAAAACAACAACAAAAAAACGATGAAAACCTGCAGGCACCAAAATTCAGAACATCTTTATTTCACACGAGTGCATTAAGTATGTGCATTATGACACATGATGTATTGAGTTATGAAGATTCACATTAGACACGACCACATCCACTGGTTATGGAGAGCCCGGGTTATTTGGGTGCTGTGTCTCTGGTTGGTCCCTCGGCAGTAAGTCTCGAGTTCATCTGTTCACAAAGGCATTTATCTCTTGCCCAGAGGTGCCTGCTTGGGTATTTACGAATGCTTAGGTATAATTTATGTTATCATTCAAGTATTATTTATATTTAATTCTATATTGATTTATACCACATACATCTTGTTATGTTGCAACAGATTAAACGCATCCATCTGGTCAACAATCTTAGCTGGAGCTTATTTTGGGGCAGGGTTTAGGAGCATCTGGAAGTCACTCAGGGCTTATTTTTCAGGTAGGTCTTAGTTTTGGGTAAATACGGTAGCTCACTGTGAAAACCCTGGGTTTAATCTCCAGTAGCACACATGAATAAACAAAAGACTGAATAGATGGGTGAATAAAATAAACATCAAAAGTACAAAATTACTCACCTGAAATCCAAGATACAAAACTGTGACAATAATGGTTAATATAAGGGCCGAAGGAATAAAGATACACTGCTCTTGGTAAAAAAAAAACAAAAAAAAAAACTATATCTATCTATCTATTTTTTTTTTTTTGGTACCGAGGATTGATATATCTATATATCTATATATGGGACAGAAAGAGGGCTAGTGTCACTGGTCATCGCTTGCTGCTATTTCACTTGCTTGCTGCTTGCTGCCTTCTGCCTGCCCTGCTTTGCCAACCTGCCTTGGAGCCAGCTAACTATGGACTGAAACTCTACAAACTGTGAGCCAAAATACATCTTTCCTCCCTTAAAAAAAAAAAAGTGTGACAGGGATGAGAAAATAAATTGCAAATCAGTGTCTTTTACATACATGCCCACAAAAAACAAAAGAAAAACCCAACCCTCTGGTATTATTAGCAAGCAAACCCAGCAACATTCAGGAATAATACACCATGACCAAGTGGGCTTTCTCTCAGAACAGCAGTCGGCTGAAGATTAAAAAATCAGTGTGGTGTGGTGCAGCATCTGCCTGGCAAGTCCGAGTTCGATTCCCAGTAGCAAAATCAATGTGGCTCCCAGTTTCCACATTGACAGAAAAGATGACATGACCGCCTCTTCGATGCAGATCAGCCGAGTGACAGGATGAGCTGCCCGCCCACAGCGGCCTGGGCCCGAGAATGACTCCTGCTCCAGCAGCCTGGCCTCGGGGGCTCTAGCCGCCTCAATGTCCTGAATTGATTCCGACATTTCCCTTCCGTGGTCATTTTGAGTTTACGGAAGAGGTAGAAGTCACAAGGGGCCAGTCCTGGTGAGTAAGCCGGATGAGGGCACCGTGTTTCTGCAAGCCTGCTTTTCGGCGGAGTGGCACTGGGCAGCGGCAGTCGCCATTTCTGATCGCACCTCATAGAGACACTCATGAAAGGACTTCAGGAACTGCTTCAGAAAGTGGCGAGGATGACAGGATGAGTGTGCTCAAGGTGAGGGGAGGAGTCTGAGGGGGATTAATGGCAACGTCTTTTACTGGAATAGATGTAAAACATTCACTGTAATTCTGATCACATCGTATATTCCAAACAGTCCCCTGAGGTCGCCATCGGAGACGGAACACCTGCCAGAGCTTGGTCCTAGCGCAAGCGTGAGGAAGCACCAGGCGGAGTCTTGCGGGGAGAGGGGAAGAATGTACTGAGCTTGAAAACCTGATCCACAGTGAGAGTAACCAGACAAGTACGTACGTCTGTGTGCACACAGACTGCTGCTTCTAAATGCTAACAGCAGAGTACAAGCGCATGCTTGGGCAACCGAAGAACGCTGTGGCACTTCCTCGAGCTAGAACTTAGTGAGTGGGACTTTAATCCTGTCTGAAGCTGCACATCTCACACCCAGGGCGCAGGTCTCTGTGGTGCGAGTGGAGGTGATTCTGCTGCAGTGATGAGTGGTAGGACCTCGGTTCACCAGTGCGTCTGTCTGCAATTTCATCTGAAGACAGAAGTGTTTGGCAAAACTTTGTGTTTGCAAACTGCATCGAGTGACAACTTTGCTGCACAAACACAACGGTGAACAACTTTTCCAAAGTCACAGAGCAGACATCCGTGAACTGAGGCGCCACTGTATCTTTCTGTGTCCTCTGGAACAGAAGGGCCCACGTCCTGGCCAGCCCGTTGTGAAACGTGGAACTCTGGCACCACACAAGCTGACCTGCGGGAGCAGGGACTCGGGGAGAACTGCCCAGCGGCCAGGGCCGTCCCGAGTGTCTCTGCTACCTGAGTGTGAACTGGCTGCAGAGAGAAAAGCCAACATGAAGACCTGAGGCTGCACAAGGCTGCCGAGGCCAGTGCTGCTGGGCAGAGGAGGCAAGAGGGGATGGTGCGCACAGGGCCGCCATCCTGCAGGGTGCTGCTGTGTCCAACTCACACGCCTGGGAAGGAGGGACAGGCAAGCCCACTGCCTGGCAGTCCAGGACACCATCTGAGGCCTACTGGGAAGGGGCCAGGCTCAGGGCCCAGCACAGGGGTGGAGGCCGTGCTGCTCTTGGTGTCCAGTGCAGCGGGCACACACTGTCTCCAGGACCAGAGGTGACACCGACTTCAGATGCTAACGGCACAGCACGGGCTGCGGGAGTGACCAGGGAGGCTGCCACATGGACACTGGCTAGGCCAGTGCAGGGCCAGGCCACGGCAGGGCTCCATTGACCCAGGCGTCCAGGCTGACAGGAGCTCCAGGGCCCCATGTGCAGGGCCCACCTGGCCCACACCGAGGGGCCGAGCCCTGCACGTCCTCACTCGACCTCCTCTGCACACCCTCAGGGTAACGCCCCGACGCTGACTCCACTTGGGGATACCACACACTGGACCTGTAAATGTAAAGGACTGTCCTGCTCCCCTGCCCTACCAAGACAGCACTGCCGTGTCCGAGAAAACAAGGCTCACCAGCTAAGAGGGACAGGCACGTCTCCCCACAGGGTGGCAGGACATCACCTCTCCGGGGGGACACAGGCAGGGAGCCACACTCAAACATCACCATCTCCGCCTCTGCTCTCTGAGCAGGACCAACAGAGCCACAGTTTGGCCTCCTGCAGCCGGTTGCTCCCCAGGGCTGGGCGGGAAACTCCCCAGTTGCACAGTGCGGGAGGCCCCGGCCGGGCCCTGGCTGACAGGACAGTGTGGGGCGCACGTGGGCAGGGAGCCCTGAAAGCTCCATCCAGCCAGGTTCTCCAACTAGGAGAGCAACGTCTGCCTTCACAACATACTGCTCTACTCTTCAGAGTACAGAATACAACAAAGTTAGTCACTTTTATTTAAAAGAAACAGTACAAGTGTAAAATTAAATTTCATGATTAAATACACATAAAGGCAACAACATGCATCCTGGACATCAAAACCCATGTATGAAGTTAGTCGGCTACACGACAAGGAAGTGGCAGAACCAAGGACCTGCTGTGATGCAGGCTGTAGATGTCTGCGGCCTGAAATTAAAACCATTACGTTAAGCTTCTTTCAAGGGAACTGAAGAAAATTAAAATATATACCTCAAGGAGCATGGACAACATGAAGCCCATAATCTATTTTAGTTACCAAATCTTTAAGAATGGTATGTGCCTTTCATTCCCAAATGTTAGTGTGCAGCTACTTACAGATGTCGGAGAGGTGGACAGGAAGGGTGGACGCATGGCTGAGCCATCTCCCCCACACCACAGGGCCCACGGGCACGCCAGGCCCCCTCTACGGAGAAGTCCTTTAACCTAAGTGACAGTGTCTTCTTTAACCTTCAAAGTCTATGCATTGCTTTGTTCCCTACACGTAGTGGGCAGACTCTGCCTGAACCCAAACGTACCCAGGAGAGCGGGCTGTGTCCCCCAGAACCTGAGGACAGGACCTCCGTGCACCCTCATGGCTCCACCAGGGCTGGGCAACAGGGTGTCCCTGGGCGCAGGTTGCTCTTCTCACCTGGGGGTGCATGGGGTGCTGCAGGGTACCTACTTGACCCGCCGCAGGCTCAGGGAGACCATGGGATCCGTCGCAGGAACAAACTCTGCTGCGTCTTCTCCCAGCAAGGCCAGGTTCTGAGCAGCCTCTGCTGGTGTGAGGGGTGGAGCCACTATCGCTAACGTCACAGGTGAACTAAAAGGTGGCGGCGGCAGTGGGCACACGCTCCCGAGCTACTGAGTGTCTGTCGTGCCTGGATGATTATTCTCTCTAATATGGGAACGGGAGCCTTTCTTAGGAAGGCAGACAGCCCGGGATGGCTCTGAGACCCAAGTCCTGAGAGTCCTTCCAGCCCCTTCTCCCCAAGGCCCTGGGGCACTGGCACCAGCCCCAGGTGTCCTCGGGGTGCTGAGTGGGGGGCACTCGTGGTCACAGCTTGTCGTCGGTCATCTCCAGGAACTGTGCGTACACGTCCCGGAGGCACTCGCCCTTGGGGTTGAACAGGAACTTGTAGTAGCTGCCGTCAGCACAGATGGCTAGGACAGGAGACAGCGCGTCAGCCAGGAGGACCCCAACAGGTCTCCCAGCAGAGCGCCGTGCTGCCTGCAGCCTGGGCCAGGACACCCACCCCACCCCACCCCACCCCACCCCACCCCGCGCTGCCCCGTCACACCATGCACCTACGCTGGGAACCCTGGAAGGCGGGCGGGCAGCCCCGTCCCAGGAGGCCCACTCACCGATGACCGAATTTGGCTCCGTCCCAAAGGCACAGATGCAGGGAGAGCCCGAGGGGACCTGGAACTTGGAGAAACTCCACTTGGAACTGAAGTATTTTGGAAGGAAGCTGGCTGATGCCAAACTGAGAACAGGGAGGAAAAAAAAGGAACAGAAAAGACACACGAGTGTTACCTGCTGAGATCCAGAAAGCTGCTAAAAACACTAAAGTGTTCCAGTAAATAGTTTTCAACTGAATGATTTCTTCAATTCTACTCGTTTTAATCTTTTACTTACAAAAACACTAATTTTTTTTTGGTAACAGAAATCGAACACAGGGACTTGTGCTTGCCAGGCAGACACTGCACTACTGAGCTACACTCCTGGCCTCAAACTGATGTTTTTTGTTGTTTTGGTTTGGTTTTTTGAGACAGGTTCTTGCTATGTCATTTAGGGTGCCTTGAATTCACCCTGTAGCCCAGAATGGCTTCTAAACTGTGGCGATCCTCCTGCCTCGGCCTCCCGAGCGCTGGGTTTACAGGCACCTGCCACCACGCCAGCTAGAGATGACTGTGATAGCACCAGCACCACCCTCTCCGGCCATCTCGGTCCCTCTGCAGGACCTGAACCCCTGGCATGGCTGAGCACTCAGCACACACCTCCCTCCTGACAGATAAGGACTCCAGCCCTGTCCCCACGGAAGCAACGGCAAACCCTCCACCCGGGCCCTTCCCTCCCCAGTGCTAAGCCCACCTGGACTGCTTATTCCTTTTCGGGTCCTCGGCTGCAAAGATGTGCACTGTGCCGTGGTCACTGGACACGCAGATGAGGGAGGCGTCCTGGTTGAAGTTGATGCTGCGGAGAGCAGGAGATGAAGCCCGGGCGCTGTGCAGACTCCGAGAACAGCCTGAAGCGCACAGTGCCCTGGCAGCTCGCTTGAGGGCCTCCTGTGCTGCCCACCCAAGATGGCGCTTAAGAAATGCTCTGCCTGCAGCGTGCCATGCCTGCAGTTGTGCCCTGGGGCCCAGCCTGGTGTGTGCCAGGGACTCTCCTGGGCCTGGGCCTCGGCACGAGGCTTGGGTGAGGGGGCTGGCAGCTGGGCTGTGCTAAGGGTGGGCACTGGGGCTGGGCAGGTGCTGGCCGAGTGTCTGCTTGCCGAGAGCCTTCAGGGAGCAGAGCTCATGGCATCCAAGGCCAGGACCCAGCTGTTAGCTTAGCAGTGGCTGGGAGGCCCCAGGCTCACCGTCGAGAGACTGAGGACAGCCAGCAAGGCCTCTGGCATTTGCTTTAAATGCCACAGAAACATGACTCGGAACAAAGGTGCACGCGTGCACGGAGGCCAGGTACCACAGTGGTCGCTGTGTATTTTATGGCCTGCCCTTATTTTTTGAGATAGAGTCATGCAAATTTTCCCGGGCAAGCTTTGAACTTGCAATCCTCCTGCCTCAGCCTCTGGAATAATGATCATATGCATGTGCCACTGAGCCCGGCTTTGCAGTCCTTTACTTTTGTGAAAATACCACATAGTATAAAGTAAAAATCACTAACAAAAAGAGCTGAAGCCGTCCGCCCAGCAGCCACAGTCCTGGCCACATGGCCGTGCAGGCCACAGTGGGTCAGGGTCAGGCTCTGCACCCTTACCAGTAGATGTAGGCGGCTTGAGATCCTCTTCGGAGCTCCTGGATTAAATGCCCTGATGAAGTATCAAATATTCTTATAAGGGTCCCCTTTGAAAAACAGTGAAGTGTTTCATTATCAACGATTCACAACTCTGAGTCTCTGAAATGATCTGCATTCACACGCCAACGGGCACACACTCCCTTTCCCAAACTCCCCGCCCAGGCCGCGGGTTACCAGAGGGGCTGCAGCGCTGCGGCCCACAGACCTGGCCCAGTTGGGTTGGGCGGGGACCACAGAGCTGCGGCCCCTAATGCCCAGGCTGCTCTGGTCCACAGAAAGCCTGCAATGGAGGCCTCACAGGGGCGGAGACGCAGTGCGGAGGGGCTGAGTGGCGGAGCTGCACAGCAAAGGCCCAGGCTGTCCACACCCCACCCTGCCTGCCCAAGAGGACACAGCTGCGGGGATCACCCACCATGCAGATTCCTAGCGGCAGAAGCAGAATTGCTACCACCTCAGTAAACTTCTATTACAGTAGGAAACCTCATCTCAGGGCCCCGTCTGGGACCCAGCGGAGCCTCTCGTGGGGACATGGAGGGGCGGCCCAGAGATGGCTGCTGAGCCGCTGTGCAGCACTTACAGGACCCCCGACGCCCCAACACCACGGCCCGGGTTGGCCCACTGCACGCCCACAGCCAGACCACACTGGCAGCGAGGCACAGGGGAGAGCGGGCTTCCGACTTAGGCAACCCCTGCCTGGCGTGCAGGAAGTTCTGTACCATGCAGCGCTAGCCTGGAAAAGACCACAGAACAAAGCGTGGCTTCTGGCTCACTGTGGAGTTGAGACGCCTGCCCGAAGCCAGGGACTAGAGACATTGTGCGCTGGGAGGACACAACCTGCACCCCACCTCGGAGGGCACCGCCGGCAGGAAAGCAGAGTGAGGGACACAACCCTGTCCTCAGGATGGGGTGCTGTGTCTTACAGTAAGAGGCTGTGGGGTGAGAAGAGTCCACAGGTAAGAGTAAGAGAAAGCGCACTACGGAGAAGAGTCGTGTTCGAGAGTGGACATGAGGTTACATTTGTGGCTAGTCCATAGGATTCTGTTTGGTTTTCTTTGGAATCAGGGATCGGACTCAGGACCTTGCACTTGCTGGGCAGCCGGTGGCACCGAGCTAAATCCCCAGCCCTCCGACAGCATTCTGAAGAGAACTGTCTGACCCTACCCAGCCCTCTGCCCAGCCCGCAGCCCCTCCATGAGGCCGTGGGCCTCCCCACTTGCTGGTTTCTAATTCCCCACAGATAGCCTGAGCTTGCGCTTTTACATGAAAACTACAGTAAAAAGATTCAGTTTTCTTGCTTCAAAATCCAAATTAATTCCAGCTGAAGGCAGAAAAGCACTGGGCACAGGAGGTGAGCGAGACTCCTCCCACAGTGCCCAGAGGACAGCTCTCAGCCACCCACCTGCCGCCACGGCGCGGCCCTGCACAGTGCTGCTAGCCCTCTCGCCCCACGCCCTGCAGGGCCCCGGGCGCGTGGAGCCTGGCCGAACCCCACGCGGCACGCCACCCAGGCCGGCCTGCAGGTGTGCTCCCAAGGCGGAGCACACTTACCTTCTCCGAGGCGGTGGCAATTCTCGTTCCCTGCAGGTTGAGAGCGATGCAGCTCAGGATGCCCTCGTGAGCGGGAATGTCCACGGGGGGCTTCTCAGTACTGGCCAGGTCCACGAGCTGCACGTGGCCCGTGTGGGTGCCCGGGAAGGCCAGCAGGGAGTTGTTACTGTTGGGACACAGGACACAGAGGCCTGCGGAAACAGGAGGCCATCGGCACTAACACCAGACCACAGGCCCGCTCCTCACGAGCCAAACCCACATTCTGCTCAGAAAACATAACTACTGTTTGCACAGCATACATCTGTATCAGAATAACGAAGGCAACGTAAAGACTTCTGGATACCAGGGACAACAAAGCGGCCACCCATGAGACTCTCACAAGCGGAAACATTTCCTGAACAACTGATTACTGAGAAGATCTGCCATCTGTCTTTGGGAGTACCCGCTACTGAGAAGGCAATACAAAATTATAAAATAAAAAAACTGCTCCAAGGGCCGGGATGTAGCTCAGTGGTTCCGCCACCTGCCTCACAAGAGCAAGTTTCCAAGTTTGATCCCTGGTACCAAAAAAAAAAAAAAGTTCCAAGCTGGGTATGGTAGCACATGTCTGTAATCCCAGCACTTTGGGAGGCTGAGGCAGGAGGATCCCAAGTTCAAGTCCTGCCTGGACAACTTACCCAGGCCCCATGTCGAAATTTAAAAGACGTAAGAAAGGGCTGGGGAGGTAGATCAGTGATACAGTGCCCCTAGGTTCAAGCCCCAGCACCCTCCATTCCCATATAAACAGAAAAACTCCATAAAAAATAGCTTAAGCGAAGCCGGGCATGGGGGTACAGGCCGGTAATCTCAGCCCTTGGGAGGCTACAGCAGGAGGATCACCATGAGTTCAAGGCCAGCCTGAGCTATGTAGGGAGATCCTGTCTCAAAATACCAAACCAAACAGAAAAACCCACCCAAGAAACCCCATGGGCATGGTTCAGAGGAAATTTAGCAAAAGATGCAGGAGACTTCCTCAGGAAACCCCTGTCCCTGGCCCAGGGCTACCAGGCTGAGGACAGGAGCGCTGCCCCCTGCCAGAGTCGGCAGCAACAGCCAACACTTTGCAGACAGCAGGGAGAGGCGCAAGGGAGACAAGGGTGGGGAGTGGCCAGGAACCTGGGGATGACAGCAGGGTGAGCCTGCCTAACTTCGGGGCTTACTCAAAGCTCTGGGCATCGGGTAGAGTGGCACCGGCCCAGGACAGAGCCCCAGAGCCCTGGAGCAGAACAAGCAAAGTGCAGCCCAGGACGAGGACTGAGGCATCCAGAAAACCACTGTTTGGTTTTTTTTGGTATTGGGGATTGAACTTGGGACCTTGCAGTTGCAAGGCAGGCAGTGGAACCACTGAGCTAAAAATCCCTGGCAAAACCACTGGTTTGATCAAAACGAAGGGACCAAGTAGTTCAGTGCAGCAAAAAAGTCTTTTTAAAAAACAATATTCAGATAGGAAAAAAAGAACACTGGCCTACAGCTCACATAAAAAAACCTGAAACAGATGAGACAGGATCTAACGCAATTAGACTTTGAGAACAAAGCACGAGAAGCTTGTCAGACGAGGGCTCGGTCTAGAATACAGGAAGAACTGCAACACCTCATAATAACACAATCAGCTAATTAAGAAACTGGGCAGACACAGGTGCACACCTACAACCCAGCGCTGTGGAAGGCTGAGGCAGGTGGACTGCAAGTTCCAGCCCAACATGTGCAACTTAGTAAGACTCTGTCTAAAATTAAAAAGAGCAGGGGCTGTAGCTCAGTGTGAGGCCCTGGGTTCAATCCCCAGGGCTGCCAAAAATAAGCCATAGATCACAAAAGATACGCAGAGAAACAGCGTGCGGAAAGATGCTCACATCGCCAGTCCTTTTGGGCAGATGGGGCAGTCGTGGTCCCCACAGGATGTCCTATGGCCTGGGGTGCAGCTTTCTTCCACCACCCACACCAGACACTTCTGCCTCACTGCAGCCCCGAGAGCCACAGAGCTGGCCGCCCACAGACACAAGCCCTTTCTCCTACAAGCTGCTTTGCTCAGATATTTAATGACAGTGACGACACACGGCAAACCACCCAAGTGGTAAACGCAGCCATTTGTACAGTATAAAGTTAAACACAGCTGGGCACAGTGGTGCACCTGCAGTCTCAGCTACTCGGGAGGCTGAGGCAGGAAGGTCACTGAGCCCAAGAGTTTGAGACCAGCCTGGGCAACATAGCCAGAACCATTTCAAACAAAAACATGAGTTGTGTGGTTTATACCCCAAGAGAGCTACGGGAAAAGCTCACAATCTATAAGGATATGAAGATGACCCAATGAACCACTGAGCTGGCCTCAGAACCCTCTATCCAGAAGGAAATGCTAAGGCCAGAGCTCAGCAGCTTCAACACAGGGCATGGCAGGCTCGGGGGTCCACCACGAGCTCCTGGGACTCAAATCTGGGCTGCAGGGGGGTGGGAAGCACCTCCCAGGTGTGGAATGAGAATGAGTGCTGAGGGCCAGAGCCAGGGACAGTGGAGGAAGAGCCGGCTCCTCCTTCCCAGCTCTCCAGAGCAGGCAATGCCCCACCCTGGCACTGCGGCCTGGCACCTCGCTCAGGACAGGCCTGCAGCCGCGGGGCCAACCACTGCCACCCGTCCCACGCAGTGCTCACCTTTAGGGTTATAGCAGGTCTCGAAGACATGTAGCTGGTGGGGGTTGTGTGTGAATGTGAACACTTTAATCATGGAGTCCAGGACAACCACAATTCTGCAAAGAAAAGATGATCAGAGCTCCACTCTACGTAAAGTGAGACACAAACATCTTGGGATTTCTCTTTTTTTTTTACTTGTTTCTTGAGGCAGGGTCTCACAATGTAGTTCAGGCTGGCCTTGAACTCATGCAATCCTCCTGCCTCAGCCTCCTGAATGCTGGGCTATGACTTCTGTTATCTTTTTGGAACTCAGAAACACGGGAAACACCATATACAGAAAGGAGTGTTGTTGAATAAGGCCCCAAGCAGGGGCCCTTTGGAGGTCTGTTCCAAGTCTCCCGGGAGGCATGTGTCCCAGGGCAACGCTGGAGAGCAGCCCCTCGCACCTGTCCCAGCCAGCCTCCGAGAGCACTTCGCATCTGGAGGAGCCTGGTGAAGTCCACAAGGCAGATGATGCTGCCTGCCTGCCTGCCTGCCTTTCCTTCCTCAGTACTGGGGACTGAGCCTAGGGCTTCACAGTGAGCTACATCCCTAGCCTGTTATTTATTTATAATATATATACACATGTGTGTGTGTGTATATATACATATATATATATATATATATGTATTTGTGTGTGTGTGTATATATATATATATATATATATATATATATATATTTTTTTTTTTTAACTCAGGGTCTCACTATGTAGTCCAGGCTGGCCTTGAACTCACAGCGATCTCCTGTCCTGCAGCAGTGCTGGGATTAAAGGTGCACACCACCATGCCTAGCTGCAAATTATGCTTTCAGATTCCTTTCTTTTTCTGGTACCAGGGATGGAACTCAGCACCTTGCGTTTGCGAGGCAGGCGGCAGAAACACTGAGCTAAATCCCCGGCCCTCCCGACATCTTACTACAGCATTTCTGAAGACGTTTTCCTCTGACAGAAAGGCAGTGCAGGTGTTCTCTGGGAACATGACACACGCCTGACGGACACTGAACCCACCTATCTCGCCGCAGCTTCACTGCCTTGACCTCCGTGGAGAACTCGATCTCGATGACAGTCTTCTTTTTGAGATCGTCCCAGATCATCACTGCAACACAAGAGGGAGCCACTGCAGCAGGCTCGCTTGCATACGCTCGCTCTGTCTGTCTCTCACACACACGCGTGTGCTTTAGTCTCTGCCAGCCCTTCCTAGCCTAGTGAGTGGGAACTGATCTGCTTTTTATATTGTTTTACTTCTCCTCAGTTCAAGCACTTATCCCATACTCCTTGCCACTCTCTGGAGCAGTCCTGGAGTCCTCTTTCATGAGTGTCTTTACAAGGTGCGATCAAAAATAAACAGAAAGGCAGGCTCGTGTATAACCACAATGCTGTGTCCTCATCCACCTTATTCACCAGGTCTGTTACCTGTGACTTCTGGCTCTTCCCAAAGGAAAAACGACCGTGAAGGATGAAACATTTTCAATTGATTTAGGACACTGAGGCAACCATGACAGGGCAACTAAAGAAGCAAGTGGAAAGAAGGGTGGGCTAAGGGTTTAAAGCAAGGGGAAGTGTCTGAGGGGGTTAATGGCAGTGGGTCCGGCAGAGCGCAGGGCACAGTGGCAGCAGACCCATGTCCCTCCACAGCTGTCAGTACCCATGTGCCGCACACCTAGAGGGCACCCAGAGCACAGCTGAGCGCTGGTGGGGACCTGCCAGTGAAGTCGCACTCGGGCATGGGGCAGTGGGGCTGTGCCTGTCGATGGGATGTATGTGGAATTCCCTGCACTTTCCATTCAATTTAGGTAAAACTGCTCTAAAAATAAATTTTATTTTAAAAATGCCTTTAGATTGTACCAAAAAGTACAGATACTCAAAAACCTATTGGAAAGTTGCTTTCTTTTCATTTTTTGGTTCCGGGAATTGAACTCAGGACCTTGCGCTTGCTAGGCAGGCAGCGGAATCACTGAACTAAATCCCTGGCCTAAGTTGCTTTCTTTTAAGCTTACACAATTTCTAAGACTTTTTTACTTCTCAAATTCTTTTTTTTTTTTTCGAGATGAGCTCTTACTATGTTGCCTACACTGGCCTCCAACTTGTGATCCTCCTGCCTCAGCCTCCTGAGTAAGAGACTCTACCACCATGACCACTTCTTAAACAACTTACTTTTTTAAGGAGAGTAAGATTTTATAGGTGAGAGACCTGAGGTTATCTAGTACACACAGCAACCTGCAGATCAGAGCCTCCGATCCCATGCCCCCGCAGTGTGCAGGGTGAGCCCAGGGAGGGGTCTCCCGGCCGCCCCACTTCTTCCCTTCTGGCTCCTTCTGTTCCTCAGGGACGACCAACTCTCCATGACCACACAACAATCAGCTCATCACCAGCAGGGTCCTGGCCACCCTCAAGTTGAGGGTAAAGTAATTCTTACTACACGGAGGAAGCTACCAGCTGAGTGGGACCCCAGGACCTCGGCCAGGTGCCACAGACACCCCATCCGCCCTGGAGTGCTCAGAGACCAGGAGCCAGCAGGGCTGCCCGAGGCCAGTCTCAGCCTGCCAGCAGTCTCCTTTCTCTCTTTTTACTTTTCACTCCTGGGGATTGAACCCAGAGCCTTCACACTGAGCTAAACCCCAAGTCTTTCTAACTCAAGAGTCAGGTCTCACTGGATGGCCCAGGTGGGACCCAAGCTTGCAGCGCTCCTGCCTTAGCCTCCTAGAGCGCCAGGTTACAGGTGTACACTTCCACGCCCTGCAATATCTTTCCTTGTCACTTTTCAGCTCTTAATTCCAAAGCAAAGGCAAAGGTGTCAGTGGTAACATCACCCGGGTGTCATTCTGTTTCCCACATCAAACTCTCGGGAAACAGTGAGCCTGGCAAATCACCCAGGGCCCAGCCTTTCCACAGAACCCCTTTCTCTTGCAGTACAGGGCAAAGAGCCCAGGGCCTCCTGCTGCCAGGCCTTTCCCAGCACCGCCACCCCCTGCTCTCTTTCCGCCAGGCCTTCCCACCCCAAAGGTGTGGCCTCGGGGAGACCCCTGGCCCCACTGCTCCCACCCCAGCGGGGCTGGTCTTCCCAGCCTGCTTCTTGCCTGACTCCTTCCTGTCCCCAGCTCCCTCCTCCCTCCCCGTGCCCACCCTGAAACCGGCTCCATCTGCTATAAAGCACAGTGGTCACTCGCACTAGCTACCAGGGCGGCAGCTCTCCGGGGACCACGCTACTCCGGCACCCCAGGATCAGCGGATGTGCTCGCCACTTCTCTACCTCTTCCTGTGAACAGCTCTCCCCTCCCGACAGACCAATGCCAGCTCTCCTGGCCCTGTCTGCCCCACCCCTTCCCAGCACCATCCTGGCAAGCCGGGTTCTGCTGTCCTCTCCGGGCTTTCCCTCAGGGCCTCTCCCCTCAGCTGAGAGCTGGGCTAAGCTGGCACACAGGCGCAGAGCCCACACGCTAGTCAGGAAAGCCATGCCTCACTGGGCCGTGAACGGGCTGGACCCCGAGCCACAGGACACCCCAGGCCAAACTGGCTTCTTGCTCTATGCAGCCACCAGATTAGTGTTCGCTGGTCAGTGGCTCGGGAGAGGAGGCCTCCCCACGCCATCTTTACCCAAGTCCCTGCCACCAGCCCAGGGTGCCCCCCCCCCAATTCCAGAGCAGGGCCATCCCTGCCACCCTCCAATCCTCCTGCATTGTTCTTCCTGCACCTTGCCTTCAAACCTCACAGGACTACGAGGACAGACCACACACGGCCACAAACGTAAGCTGCCTACCAAGTTCGGAGACCCAACAAGGAAGGAGGTTCTCAATGGTGTGACTACTTTACCTTTGTTGGGAGGGTATTTCGGCTTTTTTCCACCACCAACTAAAGCCAAGTAGTTGCAGCGAAATAACATTTCCACATGGCCAACTCCTCCTTCTAAAAATTCTGAAATGATAATTTTAGAGATAATTTTAATACGTTAATATGAATTATTTTACAACTAAAAAAATCAAGGGGCTGGGGATTTAGCTCACTGGTTCCATCACCTGCTTCGCAAGCACAAGGTCCCAAGTTCCATCCCCGGTACCAAAAAAAAAAAATCAGCAAGTACAACTGAAAAGTCAAGACCTGTAGCAATCAGCATTTTTCTTTTCCCTCAGTAACAGGGACTGAACTCAGGACCTTGCGCTTGCAGGGCAGGCGTGGTACCCTGAGCTAACGCCTTAGCCCCAGTATTTCATTTTTCATCAACAGTCTACATCCAACCGCCAGTAGAAATGAGAATGGCGCCTGACCACGCACCTGAGATTCAGGCCCTGAATCAAGGCAGCACCTCGCTGTCACTAACTGGCTCCCTCAGCGCACACACAGCGCACCGCACCCAAGAAGCCAGCTCACTGAAATAAGCCTGTAAGCTGGGAACACGCACCGGAAGCCCTAACATATACTAACAGAAGGGCTGCCTCATCATCTTAACCTCCTGCTCCGCTCAGTCTGAAGGCTTCAGAAACACGGCGAGAAACTCCATGTCCTCGGAGGCCCCCCCAGAGAGCAGCACGGCTTGACCTTCAGCTCAAGACACTAAAGGCACAGCAGGGGACATGTGGGGAACCAGATGCCCGTGGAGACTTTCACTCTCCTGTGGCTGGGTACCTCGGGTCAGATGCATCAGCAACAGCCCTCTCCAGGACGGGCCCAACAAGCCTAGAAAGGACTAAGCAGCACTGTCCAATGAGAACAACCTAACGCTGGCTATAACAGGAGGTACAGACCCAAATGCCTGCAACATCTCCTTCCCTTAGCAGCACAAAATGCAGCCCTCCAGCTGGGGTTTCCCTCCAACCTACTGAGCCAGACCCAGGAAGGCCGGCAGGCCGGGCCACTCTGAGGAGCATGAGCCCTGGGAGATCAAAGCCTAAGCACCCTCCTAACTGCCTTCCCTGAGGGAAATGCTGGCCACCCCAGTGGGGAGGGGCAGTCTCCTCGTATCCACACAAAGAAGAATGAAGTTGGACTCTACCAATACCATAAACAAAATTAACTCAGGTTGAGCTTGGTGGCGGACACCTGTAATCCCAGCGCTCAGAAGGCTGAAGCAGGAGGATCACCATGAGTTCAAGGCCAGCCTGAACTACATTGTGAAACTCTGTCTAAAAAACAAAATATATGGGCCTGGGATTTAGCTCAGTGGTTTCACCGCCTGCTGTGCAAGCAACAAGGACCCCAGTTTGATCCTCGGTACCAAAATAAATAAACAAATAAAAATAAATAAATAATTTTAAAATTAAAATATATATATATATACACATATATATTTATAAGTAAAAATAAGTAAATTAATTGAAAATGGATCAAAGCCCTAAATGTCAGGCCTGAAACTATAAAACTCCTAAGAGAAAGTGGGAAGTTTCATGATGTTAGATTTGGCAGCAATATCTTGGCTATGCACACCAAAAGCACAAGCAGTACAAGCGAAAATAGGCAAACTGGTCAATATCAAACTTAAAGATTACACAAGATACATCAACAGAGTGAAAACATAGTCCAGCAGTGGCAAACCTATGGCACCCGTGCCATGGGGGCACGCAGAGCCCTCTCTGTTGGCATGAGAGCCAAGCCACCCCAACACCAGCCGGACACCTGAGCATCGGGTAATAGCACACACAGGGGCCATGTGCATCCTGGGAAAGGAGTAGCAGCGCTAGGTGATGACATCATGATCTTAACCAATCTGAGCTTCTGAATGGCTGGTCAGTGTGTTTCCAGGATGGAAATAAGATATATATATATATATTTGCTTCGACTGGTTGGTTGTGAGTTTTAATACATTTTTTTATTAACACAAGATTTTAGCTTTGAGTTTTCTTATGAAAAACTGAAATTTAATATCAAAGATTTAGCAAAGAGATGTTCTAATTAAGAGACTGAGATTCTTTTAATGTGGTGCTGTCCCCCTGGAATAACTGAATCCACAACACCATATTTAGTTGTTTGTGAAGAATTTATGCAAAACAAGGGCAAGGAGATATATAAAGATGTCTATATCTACAGACCTATGTATTTGCTTGAACTGGCTATGACTTTAGCAGAAGCCCTCACAAGGTAGAAAACGCACTCAGATGCTGTTTTCAGAACAGGCCCAAAACTGGTGATGAGTGGAACACTGGACTCTTCCACTGGTGGTCAGCAAATTCGAGAGGAAACCCAGCTGAAAATCACTGCCGTAGAGTGTTGATTCAGGGAATAGCCAAGTCTTTAGTGTTAACTAATGGTGTTAGCCATTTCTGGTATAGGGATAAAATTTTATTGGGCAATGGGCCAGAGATTTAGCTCAGTGGTGCTTCACCTGTCTGGCAAGCATAAGGTTCTGAGTTTGATTCCCGGTACCAAAACAAAAGGGAAAAAAATTTTTTATTCAGTGATTCTTTTTTAAAATTTTGAGTTTTTGTAGACTCCAAGTCTTTTTTTTTTTTTTTTTTTGGTGTCAGGGATTGAACTTGGGACCTTGTGCTTGAGAGGCAGGCAGCAGAACCACTGAGCTAAATCCCTGGCCCCAGTAGACTCCAAGTCTTGAACACCAGCAGAGGACTATAGCAAAGAAAAGCAAAGCTGGAAACAGTGGAAGATCCTCCCAAGAGGCCTGAGCAGTCGTTTGGAGTGACTGAATGCAATGGGAAAGCACTGCGCATTCTGTTTAGCGAAAGCGTTGTGTGTTCCACATCAAGTCTCGGACAGCACTTTGACACCAACCACAAAAGTGTTGCCCAACTTGGTGAAAGTGAAAGAAGAGTTTCTTGAAGGGAAACTGAGGAAACATCATTCCCAGTCTCTTAGTTTTTTCAACTACCTTTCTGAAACAAATCATCTGACAGCTCCCAGCTTTCAAATTTCACTGTGCACAGCAAAACATGGCAAGCCTCTCACTGATGAGGCCGTGTTGTCTGGAAGTAATCCCCTTTTTCATGATTTCCAAACAAGGATAAAATTATGCAATGCATCTCTGAGATGTCACTTAGCAGAAGAAGCACTGTTAAAGACCGAGTCCTGTGCACGGTGAGTGCAGTGAGTCAGCAGCTCTCCTGTGACTGATGAAGGCAGCCTGTTACTCTGCGTGCCTGGATGAAAGCAAAGATATAAATGATCCCGTAAAGCAAGCGGTAGTTTTGCAAATGCTGTTGGTGACATTGCAACTGGTGTCTTTGCCTCCAAGAACTCGAGGGATGGATGTCTACAGTGCTGTGATGGAGGCTTTTTTGTCCAGAAAAAGGGGTTTCAATTACTAGTGATGGCCACCTTTCGTGGTGGGGGCAACATCTGGTTTCAAACAGTCCTTTGGTAAAGAAGCAAAACATCCAGTCACTCGGTTTCATTGTACCTTGATTCATGAACGCTTCTATTTGTAAACAATTCAGTTCACAAACAAAAGCATTTGGCAAAATTTTGCTTCCATTTGCAAACTGCATCAGTGACAAACACGACCATGGCCATCTTCCCCACACAAACACAAACACAGCCACTCACCCCAAATCATAAAAAAGAGTAAGTCTGGGGCCGGGGATTTAGCCCAGTGGTTCCGTTGCATGCCTCACAAGCGCAAGGACCTGAGTTCAATCCCCGGTACCAAAAAAAAGAGTAAGTCTGTAAACCGAGGTATTGCTGTATTGTACATCAAGAAGCTCTTGGGGCTGGGGATTTACCGCAGTGGTTTCGCCGCCTGCTGCGCAAGCGCAAGGACCCAAGTTCGATCCCTGGTACCAAAAAAAAAAAAGAAGCTCTTTGTGCCAGGGAAAGCAGCAAAAAATTAGACAATATCCTCAAAGATGTGACAAAAATGGTGAAGTGCACCATGGCTCATTCTCTTAATTTTCCACAGTTTCAAGCACTCCTTGAAGGCTCAGGCACGGTACAGTGCCCCACTCGTGTGGACGAATGGACCTGGAGAGACCTGAGCCTGCCTGGATAAACAGGGCTGTTTATGGATGAAAGGGAGCAGGAACATACATAGCTCACTGCTGCGGCCTGGCTTAGCAACCGCATGCTTTTCACAGACTACACTACACTTCAATGAACAACAAACTGCAGGGTGTAGGGAAAACAGCAGAAAGGATATTTTGTGATATCAAAACACTTGGGGGGGACGGGGGGGTGGGGATTTTGCTCAGTGGTTCCAGCGCCTGCCTCGAAAGCGCAAGGACCCGAGTTCAATCCCTGGTACCAAAAAAGGAAAAACAAACATTTGAGTGGGCTGGGGATTTAGCTCAGTGGCACCGGGCCTGCCTTGCAAGTGCAAGGTCCTGAATTCGATCCCCCATACAAAAAAAAAAAACAAATTAGAAAGAAAACTTTGAGTTTTTGAAAGAGACCTTGAAAGTGGGCAGCTGAAATATTTTCCACATCTAAATATGCATTCAGAAAATTCTACATTTGCAGACAATCCTACAAGCCATCAGGAAATCTACAAGGAATTTTCTAGCACTGTAGCAGCTGCAAAGAAGAATTTCAGTAACACATTTTTACAATTCCGTAAGTTGGAGACAATCCTGTTTTCTTCTCCAGATAAGGCCCAATTTGAAGAACTTGATCTTTCCTGCCTATAATGGTTAGATTTTGGAAATCTGGAAAAGGAGCTTTTGGAATTTCAAGAAAGCTCTGTCTGGAAAAATAATTTCTATGGCCTGTGTGCAACACTTGAGAAGATACAGTGTGAAGGGAGCACAAAGGACAGCATAGTTGGTAGTTCTGAAAATGAAATCTGAGCTGGGTGTGGGGTGCACGCCTATAATCCTACCACTCAGGAGCCTGAGGCAGAGGATCCCTGTGAGTTGGAGGCCAGCCTGGGATACACAGGGAGTTCAAGGCCAGCCTGAACTACATAACAAGACCCTATCTCAAAAAACAAACAAAAAAATTTTTTTTGCCAAATAATTTCAAGTCAATGAAAACACTTGGGACTGCTTTTCTTACATTGTTTAGATCATCTTATGCTTGTGAGCAGCTGTTTTCAGCCTTGAATTACATCAAATCCGATACAAGAAACAGACTAGCAGATGACCTGAGTGCTGCATGTGTTGCTCTCCATCTGAGAAGTGTGAGCCAAAGTTTGATAAACTATCAGCATGCCCGTACCACAGGGAAGATCACATTGACCATGCAAAAGCAAATGCTAACTCTCACCTTTCAATAAAAAGCTGTCTGCAACACTGCAAGCTCTGCTATTGTGTTTTTAAGACAGAAGATGTTAATGCAGGAGTTCTTTTCTAAACCATAACCTCAGCATTCAGGTTTAATTGCAGTACTGGGACATTGTGGTAAGTGGGTTTTGGGGTGCAGCTTGGGCACTCGTCTCTAAAAGGTTCGCCATCACTGAGATAATCTACGGAGTGGGAGAAAATACCTCTCAATCATTTGGCCAGTGGAGAGGTTAATACCCAGAACACAAGACAAACACTTTCAACGAACTCGGCAACAAAAAATCAATCTGATTATTAAAAAGTTGGCAAAGGCCTTGAACAGACATTCCTCCAAAGATAATTTACAAATGGCCAATAAGCACACAGAAGATGCTTAGTCAATAGTCATTGGAAGAACGCACACCATGAGCTCGCTGACTACCAGAAAAGCAGGACCCGACACTGCTGGTGACCGTGCGGAGAAACCTGGCACCTCACCCTGTCTGGTGTAGCTGCTGTGGAAAACACAGCCATGCATCTTCAAAAACTCACAGAAAGAGCTACCTTGAGACCCAAGCATCTTGCTTCTGAGTGTACATCCGGAAGAACTGAAAGCAGGCTCTCAAAGAGATACCTACCTGTCCACCCATGTTCTCAACAGCATTAGTTATAACCGTCAAGGGGCAGAGACAGGACGGCAAACCAGGAGCACAGACCTGCAATCCCAGCACTGGGGGAAGCCAGGGCTGGAGGATCCAAGTTGGAGACCAGCCGGTTCAACCTTCTCAAAATCAGAATCAGAAAGGGCTGGGGATGTAGCTTAGAGTGAAGTTCGAAGGCCCTCCTCTGGTTTAACCCCAGGGGTCACCAGGTGCTGGGGAGGGAGAACAGGGAACAAAGTTTTGATTTTGCAAGATGAAAAAATTGGAGAGGCCTGTTTAACAACAATGTGAATATACCTAACATCTCTGACCTATACACTTGAAAATAGTTCAGATGTTAAATTTTATGGTTTTTATCACAATCCAGAAAATAAAATGTCACTGGTTGCTAGAGAACTTTTGTGCCTTCTGGGCATCAGAAGTGTAACCATCCCCTCAAGGCAGGTTCAATTAGTTCTAGAAACAAGTCCATGAAAAGCAATCTGAGAAGACTGTCCAAAGGTAACCAGGGTATTCTTGAGACACTTTTCAAGAGAAAGAGAGCTGTCCCTGAATAACACCGCCTGAGCTGAGCTTGCTAGTAACCTTACTAACTGAGGTTCAACTTGCCAGGCTGGTCTGTTCAAGCCCTAAGCACTGAGTCACTCGACGACCCCTTAGCAAGACGTGACTCTGGCTGCCAGAAAAACACAGAACTGGCCACAGATGCAAAACCTCTGAAACATGACTCAGATTTGGAGAACTAATTCAATAACCTCAATAACAAAACAAAAGCACTTCCACGAAGATATATTATTCAGCTTTACAAAGGGAAAAAATGTTGATTTTTGCTAAAAGCCAATTAATTATATTGTGTTTAAGAGTATTTTTAATGTTTATTTTTTATTTTTTATTTTTATTTTTAAGGTTTGAATTTAAAAGATACAGGACAATTTTCTCTAAGCCTTTAACAAAAAAAGTACTTTACAAAAAATGTAAACATTTCATCTTTCTGCCTATTTCTGTCTGATGCTATTAACTGACTGATTGACAGGGTCTTGCTTTGTGGTTCAGGCTGGCTCTGAACTCACTAAGTAACCCAGGCGGGCCTCAAACTCTGTGATCCTCTTGCCTCAGCCTCCTGAATGCTGGGATTACGGGCATGCACCATCATGCCCAGGGCGTTTAGGCTGATCTTGACTGTACTCACTATGTAGCTCAGGCTGGCCTGGAACTCTCAGGGATCCTCCTGCCTCAGCCTCCCAAGTGCTGGGATTACAGGTGTGCATCACCATGCCCAGCCTATGTCTCATGCAATTTAGAAAAATACAATGTCAAGGAACAAAGAACAGGGTGAGGAAGCCAGGTGTGGTAGCTCATGCCTGTAATTCCAGCCATCAGAGAGGCTGAGGCAGGAGGATCCTGAGGACTAAGACTTGGGGCTGAGTGTGGCTCAAAGATGGAGTGTCCATGTGTGAGGCTGCTGGTTCAAGCCCCAGCACCAATACAAACCAACCAAAACCAGGCAGAAACACCCAATGGTCTCTGGGCTTTAACCGTGGAAAGAAAAGCAGAGTTTCAGCACCAAGCAGAGAGGCAGAGAAAGGGGGAGTGCGAGTCCCCCTCCCTCTCCCACAGACTCCCACAACCCAAGGAGCGGGGAGAGGCTCTCCTCAAGACTGGGCTGTCTGCAGAGCAGCTGAGGGCTGCAGGCTTGTGCTGTCATTTGGCCAGATGGCTGGACTGGGCGGACTCTCAATGTCCCTTGCCAGTTTATCATCCCTGCATCTCTAGCCCCCACTGCAGCAGCTAATGCCTGAAACCACCAAGTGGATGCAGGACAGAGGTCCTCAGCAACTGCAGGACCAGCCACATGGATCTGTCTCTAGTCCTCAAGTCCCTCTGCTCCCCACCTGGCTGCTCGCAACACAGCCCATGAACAATGGTCACCAGAGGAAGCAGAACACCTCTAAGCCCTTGGCTGAGCCAAGAGTGAGCTATGCAAGTTCTGTTTAACTCTGAAAGATGAAGAACTGTGTTTCTACATCAAGTCATGGTGGCACACGCCTAGAATCCCAGCACTCAAGAGGCTGAGGCAGGAGGATTGCCAGACTGGAGGTCAGCAGCCAGGAGGAGGCCAGCCTGGGGTACATAGTGAGTTCAAGGTCAGCCTGGACTACATAGCAAGACTGTCTCAAAAAAGAAAAGTCAAGCTTACTTTTTTTTTTTTTCCTTAGGTACAGCTCAAGCTTACTTTTTATACTACACACATTCGGGGGTTTTTTGTGGTACCAGGGATGGAACTCAGATCCTTGCGGTTTCGAGACAGTCGGCAGAATCACTGAGCTAAATCCCCGGCCCATACACATTCTTTTATACTTCTGTAACACTGGATATGACTGTCCAAATGTGTCACCCGGAGCTTTCTGTGGTGCTCTCAGATCTGTATGTGGGCCTGCGACATCACTGTGGGACCGAGACAGGCAGCCCTTCCCTAGCTGACAGAATGGGCCACACTGGGAGGGCACCACCCCAGCCAGGGACCCCCAACGACTACCCTCACATCACTCACATCAACTTCCTGCTCCTGACAGGCGGCAGTGCGCTCACCCCCAAGAGGCTGACGGCCCCGCCTCCCAGTGTCCTCACTGAGGCTGGCGGTCACACTAGAGACGAGGAGGAGGACAGGAGGACAGACTGCTGCACTGGGCACTTTCCTCCTCACCCTCAGGAGAGGAGACCACTACAATTAAAAGAGGAACAAAGTCAAGCCTGCTGTTAAGATGCGAGTTGCTATAAAGAACAGCAGATGAACCCACATGAGTGACTTTCTTAAAACGTGCTATCACAGAGGACCACTTTCCACTCCGAGACACATCTGCTCCTGGGAGCTGGGAACGCAGGCCTCAAGTACACACCATTGACTCAGCACACAGCAAGCTCGGCAGCCTGCCCACCAGAGACATGAGAAGTCAGAGCTGGTGCACTGTGCGGGAACTTAGGAGATAATTCTGAATTTCTTGTAGATATTTAATTAACTAAGCAGTTGCTAACGTGCTGCTAATGATTCAACTATGACACCAATGTTCACAGCTCATCTTCCTTTTTTTTTTTTTTTGCAATACCGGAGATCGAGCTCAGCACCTTGCACTTGTGACGCAGGTGTGGTACCACTGAGCTAAATCCTCCCCCCTGCCTTTTTTTTGCCAATACTGGGTACTGAACCCAAGGCCTTCACACTGACCCAGTCCCTTTTTATTTTTTATTTTGACATAGGGTTTGGCTAAGCTGCCCATATCAGGGTCCAACTTGAAATCCTCCTAAAATGCGGAGATTAGACATGCACCACCTTGTCTGGCTCCACAGCACATCTTTAAGCTTCTGCGTCAACTTAGTGAAAAGTATCCAGAGATTTCCAAGATAAGCTGTTTTAAAATGTTTCATAAATACTTATCTGCATAAAGCAAAACTATCTTAATTCACTATGCAACCAAGACAAAAATAAACAAATCAGAAGCACGGAAAACTGACAGGAGATGACCAGAGTCACTCTGACACACTGACTTCACTAACTTACTGTATACAACAGCCCCTCTTACCTCTGGTTTTGTGCCCCAGGATTTCAGCTATCTTTGGTATCGGTCTAAAAATATTAAATGGAAGATTCCAGAAATAAATAATCCATCAGTTTTAAATTGCATGCTGATCTGAATGGTATGATGAAATCTTACACCCTCCCATCCCATGCAGGACAGAAATTCTCCAGCCAGACCTGAGTTCGATCCCTGGTACCAGAAATTCTCCAGCCAGTGTATCCACTCTGTATGTCCTACATGCCCATCAGTCACTTGATAGCAACTCAATTATCAGAGTGCTTATGTTCAAGCCACCCTTATTTTAATAATGGCCCCAGGCCAAGAGTAGCAATGCTGGCACTTTCAATATGCCAAAGAAAAGCCACAAAATGCTCCCTCTTAAAAAAAGTCAAAGCTCTCAACTTCAGGGAAGAAAAAATACACTTGTAATCTCAGCATTCTGGGAGGCTGAAGCACGAGGACTGCAAATTAGAGCCCAGCCTGGGCACCTTAATGAGACCCTGTCTCAAAATAAAAAAGCGCTAAGCATTCAGCTCAGTCCCAATGCCCTAGACTCAGTCCCTAGAAACTCAATAAAATACTATGCATGCTGAGGTTGCTAAGATCCACAGTTGGTTATCACTGTCAATCTCTTTCTGTGTCTTACAAGTGAAACTTTATCATAGACGTGTACAAACAGCAAAAAAAAATACCCTAAGTAAGATCTGGTACTCTCTGTGGTCAGCACACATCAGTGGGTCTTGGAAGATATTGCCTATTACCAAGGACTGCTGTATGCTCAGAGCTTGGCATGAGAGCCAGTCACTAATCTATGTGTTTTACACATCCTTATTCACTTTTACAACAATCTATAAGACAGGTCCTATTAGCATCCTCATTTTACACAGAAAGAAACTGAGAACCAGAGAGGTTGACAAGTTACCCAAGATCACACAGCACCTGGGTAAGTGGCTGAGCTAGAGTTTACCCCTATACAACATGGATCCAGTCTGACACCCTAGCTACTGACTTACACTTTCTTTTCTTTTTTCTTTTTGGTACCGGGGATCGAACTTGGCCCTTGGGCTTGTGAGGCAGGAAGCGGAACCACTGAGCTAAATCCCCGGCCCTGACTTATACTTTCTATTAGAAATTAAGACAAGGGCCAGGGATTTAGCTCAGTGGTTTCGCCGCCTGCTGCGCAAGCACAAGGACCCGAGTTCAATCCCCAGTACCAAAAAAAAAAAAAAAAAAAGAAATTAAGACAAGAGGGTCGGGGATTTAGCTCAGTGATTCCGCCGCCTGCCCTGCAAGCACAAGGACGCAGGACCCGAGTTTGATCCTCAGTACCAAAGAAGAAAAAAAAGAAATTAAGACTAGAGACCTCAGCTCAAGAAAGAAACTCCCAGATATAAAGTACCACTTACCGTTTTTATTCTAGGATCATGCCTATGATTTCACTTGAAAAACGGTTCCCCACCTAAGGAAACACTGAAATCCCTGATGTAGGGCATTAGTTGCTAAAACGAAAAGTACCAGATGTCATGATATTCCACTAGTGATTTCCTCTTACAAAGGAAAACCAGTTCTGGAATCAGAAACTTAAAGAACACAAGTGCAGGGAGAAAAGGATGTCAACTCATTTTCACAGTTTAATGTGAGATTTCTTCATTTATGACCAGAGCTTGATTTTTCCAGAAGGTAAGGTCCAGGGGATGCTGAATATGTAAGAAAACTATACAGAAAGAGAAAGTTGAACTGAAAAAACAAAATTTTTTTTTGGTACCGGAGATCGAACTCAGAACTTGGTGCTTGTGAGGCAGGCGTGGCGCCACTGAGCTAAATCCCCGGCCCTGAACTGAAAACTTCTACCTGTAAATATTAACCTTCTCCCTGATAAATAGGAAAAGGACCACTATGACTTTTTTTTTTTTTTGGTATCGGGGATTGAACTGAGGACCTTGCACTTGCGAGGCAGGCGCAGTGCCAATGAGCTAAATAAATCCCCAGCCCCAGTATGACTTTGTTTTACCCAGGGATTCCCCACTGAGTTACATCATCTGTCCTTTTTCTCTTTTTTTGTCCTGCTCTTTTTCTATTTTTTATTTTGAGATAAGGTCTCACTAAGTCACCAAGTTTCCCCAGGCTGAGCTCAAACTTGTAACCCTCCTGCCTCACCCTCCTAGAGTGCTGGGGTTACAGGTGTGCACCAACATACCCAGCTCAAAAAATACTTTTGATAATACTATTGTTCATCGGCCAAGAGTTAAGAGACCTATATGCTGCAATTAAATTCATCAACTGAGTTTTCTACAGCTTCACATCCAATACGCAAAGAGAAGAAGTGGCTGCCTTAAAAACATCTTATCCCTCCAAAGACAGGAGGTGTGCAGGCAGGTTATTCACCAACCAGTCCGACCAACTGTGCTCCCAGCACAGAGCCACCTCACAGAGCTCACAGAGATAAAGACAACAGCTCAGCCTGGGTCTACAAAGGGCCAGAACCCTGTTTACCCCTCGGAAATAGCAATCCCCCAGCAATGTTGCCGTCTTTTCCCCCGTGCAAAATAAAGTTTAGGTTCTTTGAGGGTTGGGAAGAGGAAAAGCTAGAAAATGCCCATCATTTCCTTACCTTGTTTCTCTTTTTCTTTGAGTGGATCGGTATTATAGACTCGAAATCCATTTTCCATCCCACATGCAAAGCATCCTGAAGCAGAGGGTAGAAAAGACGGGTTAGTCCAGTGGTCAGGGCAAGCAGTCTGGAGGTACAGCATCTACAAATTGCCAAGCCACACAGACACGATGCGTGCCCAGCCACAGCCACTCTCCTTACAGAGCTGTGACAAAGTGACTGCGCCCTGCAGCACTGAGCATGCACAGGAGCCGCTGCAGTTCTGAATGCTGGCTCCCCTGCTGCAGGGTCCTCCTGCTGCATCCCTGTGGACCAGCCTAGGCCTGAATACCGAATCTGGAAGGAGCTCACAAGCTGCCTCTAATGCCGATGAGCACTCCTTGTACACTTGCCTCACACTCACTGGCCCCACTTCCAGAACACACTTCTTGGGTGCCGCAGCAGGCAATGTACTAGTCCCACCCACAGCGACAGTCGACAAGTCACAGGTGAGGGAAAACAGGCACAAGGCAAGCCAAGTCTGGCCAGTGTGGGTACAGCAGGTGAGGGAAGGAGGTGGAGCTGGCAGAGGCAGAGGGCAATCCCAGACTCCTGAGACTGGGAAGGGGAGCCATGACTGCTCTTTTCTGTTCTTTTTTTGGTACCGGGGATCGAACTCGGGTCCTTGCGCTTGCGACGCAGATGGCAGAACCACTGAGCTACATCCCCGGGCCAGGACTTTTTTCTATCTCAACACCGTCTCCTAGAAGGTGTGAGTTGCTCAAACCCCTGTTATGGTCACAATCTCCAAGTCACTCATCCAGGTTGTTCCTGGTCTAAATAAAAGGGACTCAAATTTCAAGACTATGTAGCTTTGTTTCCTGCAACCTGGACTTTAGCCAGCTTAGGCATGGACCAAGACTGCGCTGACCTTTAAATGCCACGCCCAACTGCTGGTGCAAAGGAAGCTCTGGCTAGGAGAAAAACTAAACCCTCCAATTCTTCTTCACATGAAATGTTGTCAAGCCTGGTTCTGGCACAACTGGTTTGAAAGCCAATGTTAAGGCCTCTTTAATTCCATTGTCCTGGTTTTGATCTACCTCGCTGGTTGTGGAACCAGATTATTCTGTCCCATCAGCCACCTTTCCAAATAAAAAGGTAAACCTATATTTTTTGTCCAAGTCATGTACAAAATCATAGATCGAGACAGATCCATGACGGCTACTCCAGGCAACCAGAGTCCACACTGTGCAAACAACTCTTGCAGAAATTCTCAGAAATGTAATTTACCTGGGCCTGGAATTTTTTTTTTTTTGAGACAGGGTCTCTCTATGGAGTTCAGGCTGGCCTTGAACTCAAGGTGATTCCCCTGCCTCGGCCTCCCAAGTGCTGGGACTACAGGTGTGCGCCACACCCAGCTGTGGGCCTGGAAACTGAAACTCAATTAACGGGCTATGTTACCATCTCTTAAATTGTTCTGAGTTACAACATCCTCTTGATGTTACTGAAATCATACAACCCAGACAGAGGAATCAGAGCTTTCCTGCTGAAAAATACAGAAATAATGGTTAAATTTTTTTCCTTTCAGCTACCACACCTTCCTCAAGTCTTAAGTCTGTATCTACTAGTCTTCAACAGAAAATATATTTCTGATTTAAGATTTGTATAAAAACATACAAACCACCTTTATAAATCCACAAGCAAAAGAAAAACAAAACAGGTCATACCAATAGTCAGTGAACACAGAATCAGGAAAGTGCAAATAAAACAGCACAGTGAGATGGACTGCATACCAGCCAAAATGGCCAACACGATGGGAAATACCAGGTGCCAGCTGGGTGCAGGGCCACAGGAGCACGGACACTGCAGTGGGGGACAAAACGCTAAGAACACAGAGGAGAGCTGTCTGCTCTGGCGATGTCAGCTGTCCACTGTTCCCAGCATGTCTTGCAGAGATGTGAACTTCTGCTCACCAGAAGACATGCATCACAATACTCACTGAAGCTGTTACACTACGGATGCCAAAAGTGGGAACCTATGCAAGTGCTCACTGAAGGAAAAGTGGACAAATGAATGGTGATATGTCTGCAAAGGAACACTACATGTTCACGAGAAGGATCGACAACCACAACCAACAATGGGGTGGGGGGCGTCCTCAAAAACATGATGAATAAAAAAGGCAGAAATAGGTTGCCGTTACACAGAGTTCAGCTGTGGAGTACTTGTGTAGCATACACAAGGCCCTAGGTCAGGGGCAGCAAACACGGCACGTGAGCCAAGTCGCCCCTGCAGCCAACCATCAGACCTTTAGGTTTAATCCCAGCGTTGGCACTTCGCAATAAGTAACTGGGTTTTAGGTTGCAGTATGGGCTTCCAAACCACATAAAGGCTTGCCATCACTGCCCTAGGTTGGTCCTCAGCAACACCAAACAATCAGAAGCCAGAGACAGAAATAAACACTAAAGTACAGAAGGAGGCAAACTAACTGACGTTGTCAGGGGTCAGCTGGAAGAAGCATGGTTGCCTGGGCACTGTTTCTTTTTTCTTTTTTTTTCCAGTACCAGGGACTGAACTCAGGACTTTGCGCTTGTGAGGCAGGCACCGTGCCACTGAGCTACATCCCCGGCCCCCAGGTACCGTTTCTTAACCTGTGTTGTTGAGGGATGTGTTCAGTTTGGAAAATGCATCAAGCTGAACATATACACGTGCACTTTTGGGGGGGTACTGAGGATTGAAACCAAGGCCTTCACACTGAGCTGCATCACTTTTGTTTTCTGGAGACAGTCCTTCCTGCTAAGCTGCCCAGCCTAGGCTGGAACTTGCCACCCTTCTGGTACAGCTGCTCAGAGTGCTGGGACTACAGGCCTGTGCTACCACACTCAGCTACCCTTGCTTTTCTCCCAGAGAAATCCTTGGCCTAGGAGCTTCGACTACACAGCTCCTCCTGAAGCTAGCAGTGTTGGGATGTCTGACTAGCCAAGGGCAATAGAAGCAGAGAGAGGTGCCTTCCAGCTCTACACGCTCACATTCAGAAACTCCCACCCCAACTCCTGAGCATTGCAGGAGCTCAACTGGCTACTTCTGGGCTTGCCTGGAGCAGCTGCTCAAATACCTCGGGTTTCCCTCTGAATAGAAAGTCAAGCCAGGCGTAGTGGTGCACATCTGTAATCCCAGCACTTGGGAGGCTGAGGCAGAAGCACTGAGAGTTGGAGGCCAGCATGGACTACATAGTAACTTCAAGGCCAGCCTGAACTATACAGCGAGACCCTGTCTCAAAAAAGTAAAACAAACAAACAAAAAACGAAGTGGGCACATTATAGAAATCCATGTATATAGTACAAATTACCTCTGGGAAAAAATGTCTATAAAGTCTGAGCAATTTAAAATTATGGGAAAATGAGCTGGGTGCAGTTGTCCACATGTGGTCCCAGCCACTTGTGAGGCTGAGCCAGGAGGATGGCAAGTTTGAGGCCAGCCTAGGCAATTTAGCGAGACCCTGTCTCAAAATAAAATTAAAAAAAAGAAAAAGGGCTGCAAAAGAAGCTCAATGGTAGAGCCCCTCTGGGTGTTATTCCCTGTACTAAAAAGGCAAATGTCCTTTTAAACATGATTTCTAACTCTGAGTTTGCAATAAATGTTAAAAACATTGAGAGTAAAATTTAAAGTATAAGCAAAAAACAAAATGTGATACTCAACCATCTGTCATAAATTTATATTATAGGGTATTAACTATTAACAGAACTTTTAGTATGAAAGCACATTTTTTTAAGTGATGATGAAGTCTATTTGAAAAAGTAAAAGTGAAGTGTAGGAGGGCCGGGAATTTAGCTCAGTGGTGCCCCCCTCCCGCCTTGCAAACTCAAGGTCCTGAGTTTGATCCCTAGTATCGAAGGGGGTAAGAAAAAACCAAAGTGAAGTGTGGGAGACACCGGCCCAGCAAAGCACAAGGTCCTGAGTTCAATTCCTGTTGGGCCGGGGATGTAGCTCAGTGGTGCTGCTGCCTGCCTCGAAAGCACAAAGTTCTGAGTTTGATCCCTGGGTATCAACAAAACAAAACAAAACAAAACCAAACCTCATCCAATTTCTGTCCACCCCCCCCCAAAAAAAAGGTGTGGGAGAGGGGCCAGGGATTTAGCTTAGCGGTCCCGGCACCTGCCGCGCAAACACAAGGTCCCAAGTTCGATCCCCGGTACCAAAAAAACAAAACAAAACAAAACAAAACAAAACAAAGGTGTGGGAGAAGCTGGCTCTGCAGAGTGACTATGGACCAGTAAGAGGAAAAAGCTCAGTGCTTCCTCTGCCTGCCTCAAAAGTGAAAGGTCCTGAGTTCGATCCCTAGTACAAAGAAAAAAAAAAAACAAAAAAACCCGAAGGTTCAGGCAGAGCCTGTACCACCCAAGGCCCAACATCCAGCTTCCGAAGTAAGTGTACTCCTCTCGGTCCCTGCAAGGGGCCAAACCAAACCTCCGAGGCGGCCACGTGAACCACACAGTGGGCCTTCCCACGGCTGCCCCTCCCCCAGAGACCCTTCTGTAAAGCAGTCTTGCCTTCCTCCAACCTTTCCACACCTGTCTTACGACATGCACATATTCTGCCTCTTACCTTGGTTTTTCTTAGACATAGTTTAGCTCTTCCACTGCATCACTAGCACACAGTGGTGGGCTGAGGGTGTCAGATTCTGATTATATTCAAAGTAACTCTCAAAGCCCCAGAAATACTTAGCATATTTAAAACTAAATAAGTATATGCCAAATGAGAGATAGCCAAACACTGCACTACCTAGAATTGTTCATCTACTGGTCCCCAGCACTGCAAAATGAAATAACTCATTTAAGATTATCTTCACAGGGCCGGGGATTTGGCTCAGTGGCACCGTGCCTGCCACGAAAGCGCAAGGTCCTGAGCTTGGTCCCTGGTACAAAAAAACAAAAACAAAAACAAAAAACAAAGATTATCATCACAGTTGAGTGTTGCGGCGTACACCTATAGTCCCAGCAACTTGAGGTGCTGAGGCAGGAGGATCACTTAAGCCCAGGACTTCCAACCTGGAAGTCTCAACAACATTAAAATAAATACATTTTTCACAGATATGAGATCATGTAGCATTCTTAGTTTCCCTTTAAAAGCTTGTGTTGATTTCTCCTCAAAAACAAAACGTCCAAAACCAAGAGGTAAAAACTCTTGGGAGTCTGCCCTTGAATAGCAGCTGGTCACTCCTTTCTTCCCAGTGATGAAGCTGCCGGGAGCACCTGACCAGGCAGAGGAGCAGTCACTGCAAGGGCATGGGGGTGTGCGGGACGCAAGCCACAAGGACCGAGACGGTGGAAAGGAAAGCCTGAGAGCTCTTCCCCCACCAAGCAGGTCAGCGCTGTTGTTAAGAGTGGCGGGATCGACACTAAGCTGACACCCAGCACCTTCGCCGAGGTTCCTCGACCCAAAGAACCGACAACTTAAGACCTCGCGCAGGCCGGGAGTGGTGGTGCACGCCAGTAATCCCAGCACTCGGGAAACAGGAGGATCGCCGCGACTTTGAGGCCAGCTTGGGCGACATAGTGAGTTTAAAGCCAGCCTGAGCCTTAAGCAAGACCCTACCTCAAAAAAATTAAGATAATTTTTAAAAAGAAAGGAAAAGATCCCGCGCAGAATGCAGAAGCCTGCAGCTTCCCGAACCCGGTAAACCGCGCGCCGAAGACCGTCCCAGGCCAAGCAGGACCCGCCCCCGCCTCGTCTCCACAGGCCTGGACCGCTCCGGGCAGCGCCGCGCCCCGCCCCGCCCGGCAGGCCCGGCCAGGGGTCTCCAGTAGCGGGGAGAGGACGGCCTGAACGCGTCGGGGACCTCGGGAACTGAGCCGGGCCGAGGTCTGGGCCAGGGTCGGAGATCTTGAGAACAGGGCCGGTCCGAGGTCTGGACCAGGGTCGCGGGTCTCGGGGTCAGGCCCGGGCCGACCCGAGGGTCCCGGCGGTAGGGCGGGGCCGGGTCGGGCCGAGCCCAGGGTCCCAGAGGCGGGGGAGGCGGGCCAGGCAGGGCGGGGGTCTTGGGGCGAGGAGGGCGGGGGTCTTGGGGCGAGGAGGGCGGGGCCGGGGTAGGCCCGGCGCGCGCCTCACCGTGGTCCTGGTTGAAGCCGGCGTACAGCAGCCCGTTGCCGTGCGGGTTACACGGCAGGAGGTTCATGGTGCCTCCTGGAGTCCGCCGCTTCTCAGAGCTGCATCCCGCTGGAAGGGCCGGGGGATTCTCCAGTTGGGCGGCGCAGAGGCCGCCGCAGCCGGAAGCGAAAAGCGTAGGGGACTGCGTCGTGCGTGCCGACGTGTGCGCATGCGCGCACGCTGCCGAGGAGTCCGTGGAGGGCCGAGTGCATCCAACCGCGGTGTTGCAGGACCGGAGCGCCGACCTCGTCGCCGGCCGGGCCTGGTTACGCGCGGTAGAAGCGCGACGGCGCCACCTCCCGGCGGGGGCAGGAAGGCGGGATGGGGAGGCGGGGCCAGGAGCGCTACGAGATACACGTCTCTCCGAGACCACGCCCACTCACCCACGGGGCACACGCGCATCACCCCGATGCACACGTCCCTCCCTCACACCACACGTGTCCACCCACCATCCCCACTGCGACGCACAGCCCCCACAGCCCCCACGTACAGAGTCTCCGCCATCCCGCCAGGCGCACAGTCCCTTCGCCGGGCTACGCACCCTCCAACACACGCTAACAGTCCCGTGTGATCGTCTCCCGTCCGCAGCCCCACCGTCCCCCGGGACACGTTACCTCCCCGTGTTCCTTTCGGCACACTGCCCCACGGGTCGCGGCTCTCCTCCACTCACAGGGACAGGCTCCTGGGGTGACCTGGTCACAAGAGGTTTGACCCAGGCGCTCTTTCATACAGCGCATGGCCTTGAGGCGAAGGAAGCTGGCCTTTGTGTTTCCTGGCCAGCCAGTCCTCTCCACTGCCCCTCCCCACAGTCGCCTTCTGCCCCCCCTTTCCCACTGTCCCATTCCTGGTCTCTAGGAGGTCTTGGCACAGCGCCCCCAACCTCTGGCCTCTCACTCGGTCTGTCACCCCGGCCGTCTTGTCCCTAGGTTTCTGTGAGTACTATCTTTGTGGCTTCAGTATATTTTCGTCTCATTCAGAGTCCAGCTGTGGCTGTAGTGAGGGCATCTGTGTACCACAGCCACATCCTAAGGAGGCAGCTCATCACTATAGTGGCCCCCAAAAGATACATCCACCTGGAATCTGTAAGTGCAATTTTTATTTAGAAAAGGGTCAGGGGCCGGGGATTTAGCTCAGTGGTTTCGCCACGTGCTGCGCAAGCGCAAGGACCCGAGTTCGAGCCAGGGTACCAAAAAAAAAGAAAGAAAGAAAAGAAAAGAGTCTTTGCAGGGTCTGGGGATTTAGCTCAGTGGTTCTGCTGTCTGCCTTGCAAGCGGAAGGTTCTGAGTTCGATCCCTGGTACCAAAAGAAAAAAAAAAAAGAGTTTTTGCGGACAAGATCTTGAGATGAGATCACCCTGGATATAGGGTGGAGCCTAAGTCTAACAAATGTCCTTAAAAGAGGAAGGAAAGAGAAAACACATAGGGCAATCTCTGCGTGCCCACATGAAGGGAAGAGATTGGGGTCACGGAGCCAGAAGTCAAGGGACACCAAGAACTGTTGGCAACTACTACACGCTGGAAGAGATATGCAGAGTGGATTTTTCCTGAGAGCTTCCAAGCCTGAGAGAGAATAAATGTTTACGCCACACAGCCTGTGGTACAGGTGGAGTATGCCTCGCCCAAAATGCTTGGGACCAGAAGTGTTTCAGATTTTGGATTTTTTTTTTTTTTTGGAACATTTGCAGACAGATAATGATGTATCTTGGGTATGGTACCCAAATCTAACTACAGACTTCATTTAGGTTTCATATAGATCCTATACATAGAGTCTGAGGTTAATTTCACATAACATTTTGTGTCCCTGTGATTTGAGACAGGTGTGGAACTTCCCACCTGTTGTGTCGTGTCAGTGCTCAGAAAGTTGCAGATGTCGAGCACGCTGATTGGGCTTTCAGATTGAAGCTGCTCAGCCAGTCACAGCAGCTCCCAGGAACCAGCAAACCTGAGAGCCCAAATATCTCTGGGTGGAAGACAGGAAAAGAGGCTTGGAATGAGTGATGCAGTGCATCTCATCTATCCCTTCTGAAGGGCTGGGAGGACATTCTCAGCCCCAGGGTAGTTATCCAGGATCCTTTGTTTTTTGGAACTGGGGATTGAACTCATGACCTTGTGCTTTCGAGGCAGGTATGGTGCTCCTGAGCTAAATCCGCAGCCCAAGTAATTGAAGATCCTGAACTGGGGGATCACCTGGATTATCCAGAGGGGCAGATGTGGCTCCTGGGTCTATATGAGGGGAAGGTGGGAGAGCAGCACATGTAGGAGGAAGCTGTGTGAAGATGGAGGCAGAGAGGGGGATGATGTGGCCACCAGCAAGGGGTGCTTGGAGGCACCAAACACTGGAAGCAGAAGGATAGTCCCTCTCCTCGAGCCTTCAGAGGGAGCACAACTTTGCTGACACCTTGATTCGGACCCAGTGATACTGATTTTGGACTTGGAACCCCAGAACAGGGACAGAATCAATCTGTGATAATTGGTTATAGCAGCCCCACTAAACCACAACGTGCAGAGAGCTACTTTTTTTGGGGGGGGGGGACAGGGAACAGGGTCTCATTGTGTAGCCCAGGCTGTCCTCAAACTCACAGCAATCCTCCTGCCTCAGCCTCCAGAGAGCTGAGATTATAGGTGTGCATCACCACACCCAGCCTTCTTCTTAAACTGCTGAAGGATGGGTATGTAGAACCATACAATATCATCATTTACTTAACTGTACATGTTATATGAACTCTGTTACAAGTGAAACACTTCACAAATAAGATGATTAGACACCTTAACAAAAAGCCACTGTCATTTGTCCTCATTTCTGAAGTGGAATCCAGAACAAGGGCAAAAACCCTGGCCCCATTCCCCGGCAGGAGCTGAAGGCTAGCCTGCCTAGTGGGGGCAGGCATTTTCTACCCCTCGGTGCACCTCCACTCACCCTGGGCCTGGGTGATGTCTCCCTGTCACCTTTTAAGAGTGCCAGGGGAAGGGCAGGAGAGCAGGTGCTGGATGGTGGGTACTGGAAGCTGGGCACCAGGAGCTGGCATATACAGCCATGCTTGGGCATCTCCTGCTGGACATCTTGTGACTGCTGGGCAAGAGAAAAGCCAGCTCCCATGTGAGCAGAGACAGGCAGCCCATCCTGCCGAATAGGACCAGTGTTCTTCCTTAGCAATTGTCAGGAGCAATTCTACATAATTTGGGGGAAAAAGTCATTTCACAATTAAATTATGATTAAGCCTAGTTTTCCTGCCTACAGGCAGGCTATGGCATGCCCAGATGTAGCTCCATTTTTGCCTGTGGTCACAGCTAAAACCTCAAAGGTCCTGTGTTGTTGTGATGCTCCAGGGCAGGATTATACCAGTTGAAGACATCCCGGGGAGGGACAAATTCCTGATCAAGTAAATTCCTCATCAAACTAGGATCTTCATCAGCATAAATTCTTCATTGTCCTAGGATTATCACTGCCACCTTCTGGGTTATCTGTTAGTCCTGACATACCGAATAAAGGTGTGGCAAACTCAGGGTCTTTCATCTTTGCTGCCCAGAGCGGCATTGATCAGGCCCAAAGCTCAGCTCCTTCTCTAAGTCTCATTTCTGGTCTTTATTAATTAATTTGCCTTGTGCTGTCATGGCTCACAGGAGACCGGGACTCACTGCAAGAGTTCTGGTAATGTCCCCTTTTCCTGTTCCCTACAAGCAATGGCAACTCCAACTTTGCTGCAGGCAGCAGATCTCAGAACCACTCCTACTTCTGAGAGCACCCAAAACAGTGGAGCATGGCTGCCTGGAACACTCCCCAGCCACTTGTCAAAGGCCTCCCTCTTGGTGCCCCCACCCCTCCTGCTGCGATGCCCCTCACTTCACAGCAGTGTGCAGTCCCCGCATTTTAGTTGGAACTTGCATTTCCCTCATTATTAATAGGTGTCAGGTAAAAGTGCTGAAGACCAAGACCTGCCAGGCCACAACAAGCCTTTATTAAGGGAATAGATCTGCCGGGCTGTCTCTGAACAAAGGAGAGAAAAAGCAATATGGCCGGGGGAGGGAGAGCCTTTTATAGAGACTGGGGTGGGGTTTGTAGGGGCTGAGGTGGGGTTGAGTGAGGGAGTGACTAGGGAATGGAGGAGCCGGTGATGTCACTAGGTGGTAGGAGGTGAGCGAGTATGAGGTTACTTTCTAGGCGGGAACAGGGGCATGCTGGGAAGAAGGGTTTGTTCTTTGGTGGGAGCAACCATCTTGGCATGGCATCACACAGGGGAGGGGGCAAGGCACCATAGGAAGAGGGCAGCTACAATACATAACAGCTGCTGAGGGGGTGGGAGACCTATCAATAAGGTTGTACGTATTTTTCCTTTTCCCTTTCCACAGTCCCTCTGAGGCCTCTGTGCCTGTATGTATGGAAAGTAGAGGGGAAAAAAAACCAATATTCAGCTCTCCAGTTCTAGACTGAGGCAAGAGACAGTAGTTGGCAGGGGCCAGGTTTTTGGGAGAGAAGAAAGGTGTATAAGAACCCTCAGACCTAGGTAAAGGGGCTGTGGATCCACGTGTTACACGTGGGAGTATTGGAGAGAGGTAAGTTAGACATCTTTTAGGCAGTAAGACAGGACTGGCCTCTGAGGAGGAACAAACATGGAGGACGATAAAGACACATTCACTGAAGGCCAGCACTGTAGGAGAGAAACTACCACACTCATGTAGGATAAATAGCAGTGATTGATACTCAAATAGGTATTGGAAGGGAAATGAATTCCTCTGTAGCTAAAGCTGGACTTGCTAATAGGGAAGATGACTTCCCTCCATTACTTTTAACAGGCCTGGGCCTGCCTGCCCCGCCCACCAAACATCCCAGGAATTTTCTTTGTCCTGCCTTCCCGCCATATGCAAATAAGATAAAACTCAGTGCTCTATGTTAACCAATGAACCCGCTCTATGTGAAATTCTGTAACCAATAAGGTTGCTGGGCCCATATGTAAATGAAGGATTGAAACCTGTAAACCTGCCCCTTCCCTAAGTGTATAACAACCCAGCTCTGGCTAAGTGTCGGGGTCAGTCTCTTTGTGGAGAAGTTCCAGACTGACCCAC